CATGGCCTTAACTCGTCATTTGGTCAAACTTCCATTACTGTAACTCCTGATAAGCTAGACAGATCGAACATCATTGAAAACATTTCATCGCATCTAAGTATTGCGGATTTACAATGCGGCGGCTGCGCTCGCAAAATCGCTCTTGTCCCACGGGGTGCAAAAGCACAAAACGCGCGATGTCGTCAACGTGTTAAATACCCGATAATTACTTTGTATTGTCGCGCCTCGTAGTCTTCAGAACCCCTCTTTTCTCTTCTTGGAAAGTCTATTTCTCGGCTCCTTTTCCCAACTCTTGGCTTTAAGAAAGGCGTCATACATTTACGAAGAACGCACAAATATCCAGATGCTCAACTGCTCTGTTGTCTGTCTTTTACGATGTCAGCAACAGGTATTTAGTGTTTTCTTATGTGCAAAAAACGAAATCGCCGGTAGCAACATAGTAGCATCATGTTAAATGACAAGGAGTAAATGTTTGGAAGGTGGTTGGTTTAGAGGAGATGTCATTTGAGGCATGGAAGCTCCTGAGGCTGCGACGAACTTCCAACACTGCAGCTCCAATTCTACCCTTGCACAGAGTCTCCAGCTCTTTGGAAACGTCGAATCTCTGCGTGAGAAATGAAGGAGTCCGATAAAATTTGCTCTAAGGAGCGAGTTGCTGCTGTCTCAAAATAAACGCACTCAGAATGGTAATTCCTGCTTCCTTGTCATTAAGTGACCATCTGAAGTCCCTTCAGGTGGTAACACATCAGTGGATGGGAACCTGAACTTCATATCAATCGTTGGGCCCTGCCGCACCTACCCTGTGAATTTGTGTCTCGCGGTGATTAAAAGCTGTCCTTTGTTAATTTTTGCGTTAGGGTTCTATTGCTTGAAATAATCGCGAGCGGTGTATCTAACCATAAGTGTGGGAATCACTGACTCGAGCATCATGTGACTCTGGTATTCCCTGTAAGCCAACAGCATCACAGATGCGTAATGGACGGTTTGCAATCTCCAGGTGAGGTGGCTCAATCGTAAACAAATGTAGTGACTCCAGGGCGCACACACATCGTCACATCGTGCTTCCAATCTCGAAATCTAGCCTTCTGTCAAGATGATGTCATATAAGAATAATTTGATACTCAGTGCATCATTTCTAACGATCCTCTCCTCTAGCTACACATCAACACATGCAACTTTACGGTCTTACTAGTGTAGAAAACCCTCTCTTCTCGGTTTTCCATCAGATATTGATCGTAATGTCATCTCGGCACTACTCTTAAAAGCCCTTTCGTAGAATACTTTGAAATAATACTCGATTACAGACCTGGGCTTTCCTTGAGCTTCATCAGAACGACTCAGTGAATGTCAGTAGCACAGTCTGGACTTTCTACAATCAATTCTATTATTTTCGGTGTTGCGGCTATTGTATTGAACATATTTCTTATCTACGTGATAAGAAAGAAAGCCACGAATCTCTTTGGCGGTTACAAACACATGATGATCGCCTATGCTGCATTCGATGCATTTTTCAGTGCTGTTGATATCATATGTAGTCCTGTAAGTCTAGAACTACTTTTCGGCCTTCTTCGAAATAACTGCACATTGTGTCGGTCAAGCGTAATCTCCCGTGCCTATAGTCATAAGTGGAGCAAAAGTGTGTGCTTAGCTCAAACTTTCCCAAACCCACGCCAGAGATGAAACAGCGATTTAGACCAATTTCAGGTGCTATACAAGTGCGGCGGCGCCATATTTTCAGGATACGGTATGCGCGGGGAGTACGCAGCGCTATGATCTAACGAGACGCTGTGGGAATCGATAATCACTGCTTCTTTGTTGTTTTTTTTCTACTTTTGATGGTATTTCCTGCTGGATCGTTCAGATACACACTATTGATCGATGGACTAAGCCTTTGGAGAAGGGAAAAAAGAAGGGCTCCCTTCCCAAAGGCTTAGTCCATTGATTATCGTTGTGTCGCAGTGGGCTGCAGTTCCCACGCACATTTCGCACCTACCGTATCCAAGAGTTTTGATTTCGCGATAAATTTGGCAGAATTTTCACGAAAGATGCTAGAAGTAGGAAATAGAGAGCTTGCCGTCTTCTTTACGCATGCAACGTCTTGACGGCCGTTTTGGAGGAGCAAAGTGGGCAGAGGTGAGTCGAACTGTCGGACTGTTCTCATGATCAGTATCATAGAAACAGTCATGTTGATGAGGGTGAAGGGATAGGAGGTGGTAGTGATGAGGAGGTTGTATTTGTCGGTGACCCCTTTCACGCATGGGGACATAGAGAGAGATTCAATAAAATAGAGTGGGTGGGCGACGAGAGATCCCTAGAAAGGCACAACGGATAGTCGGACGGTCGTGTTCATAAATGCGACTGCACGCTATTGGGATACACTTCCCATAAGAAAGGTCTTTCGAAACTCGAAACTCAAACGAACCTACAGCGAAATAGTTGCTTAATTTCATGGAAGCATGTAGAACGATATATAGAAGATCCGGAAGAGCTGCGCACCGCGAAAAAAATGCATCGGTGGTCGAAGTGGTCAAATTTCGGGTCATGCCGTGCGACGTAGCCCGCATTCTTTCGGTCCTAGTCGGAACAAGCTGTCGTCAATACGTTGGCAATTTCATGAAGAGTGTCGTTATCGGTCTGTCTCGAGTGGGTTTCGGCATTCCAGGAGTAGTGAGGAATTTGCTGAAAACCTCAGAATTACTTTGGTATTGATGAAGTTCCTAAGTGCGCTTAGTAGAATATAAAAATTCTTGAGCAACGGAATCATAAACTTTCCAGAAAATGCCTGTTTACAGACTTTTGCTGCTACTCCCGAAATGTCGGCGTTGCTTATTGTAAACGGTGGCCTTGAGATGCCAACAATCTGTGGACGTATACTATTGGTGCTATTTGTTTTCTTATTGTGCACTTCTATCGTCATACCAGCTTGTTTATTTGTGTTCCGATATCTACAGATATGCAGGTTGGTTGCCGTGCAGTTCAAGCTGAGGCGGTAAAGCCATTGTCGTATTATTATCTTGGAGCCGTGCCATATATTTGATTTCTATAGTGATTGGTAGGCACCCGCAAATGAGCAAACTCTGAGCCGTGACCTATGAAGCTAGTCGTAACTAGAGTCCGTTTGGCCTTCGCCATGTCTTGAAAAGGTTGAAGCTTCTATTGTGCCTATCTGTCCAGTGTCCCAACGTGACCGTTTATTTTATGCACCGTTAAATGGGTGATGAGGCTGGGAAGATTCAACGCTTTCTCCAGAAGAAGATTCCACGAGAAGCTCGAAGAAAGGGATACTTCACCTGTATCACCTGTCGTCCCGTTGATCATCGATTTGCTCGAGCGGGCGCCAGCAACGTCTCCATTCGTCCCTGTCGCGTGCTAGAGTGGTCCAGTGGACCCTCCTCGCTCGAGGGACACGAAGTCCTTCATTCCTTTCGTTCTTTCGTGAAGAAGTCTGACCATCGGGCCGGCGGTCGTCCAGGTGTTCGTTTGACGTCCCGAGGGATCCAGTCGGTAACCGCTCTGGTCCAACGGTCATCGCAAAATCGCATGACGTGTCCGGCCCACCTTATCTTCGATTCCTTGGCGAAAACGGCAGCGTTTAAATAACTTCGATAATCATTGCGAAGTTTAC